TACGACCACCGAGGGGTTGGAACGCATCAAATACTTTCCATGCATCCTCAATGCACTGGGACGGCGCTGGGAGGCTTTGCGGGTGCTACGTAGCAAGCAGGGGTTGTGGAGAGTTCTGTTGTGATAGTTGAGGTGTCGGAAGTGAAGATGATGTAGAAGTTTCGGATGGTTGACGTGATGGAGTTTCGGATGATAGCGAGGACACATGCGCATTGCAGTGTCGTTGGCAGCGGTATCACAATGACAGCTGGTGAATCTGTATGTGGTATGTCAGTAGATGATCAAACTGCAACAGTCGGAGCAACTGGAACAAGTGGAGTCGATGGAGCTTCCTCCTTGGGTACAGTCACCGGCGTGGAGGTCACAACAGTAGCCCCATCTAGTGATATTGCACCTAACCCTCCCAGTAGACTATCCTTCCCACCCTCCTCCTCCTTCTCTGCATCCCCCATGCCCGCCCTAATACTCCCAATGACCACCTTTCTCTCCTCTGCACCCGCCCTCTTGCTCCCTCCCCAGCTTCGCAGCCCGCGCTTTCGCCTGTTTTCTCCTCCGCACCAAATTCTGGTCCATCAAGGCTTCATGTTCTGTCCTGGACAGTGCCTGTGGAGGTGGTGTTTGATGGGGCTGGGAGTCGAACTTGCGCTTCAAGGTTGCCGTTTGCTCGTATACCATTCACGAACAGCGTTGATATTCTTATGCTGATAGCCTTCTCATCCACATCAACCAATGTCTCCAACATTAAACATGCCCTCTCCAATACTGTATCCACACTATCTGCCCATGCCCTACTCCCCCTGGTTTCCGCCATACAGCGCCCCATTCAGTTCCATCCTTTTCAACAGCCCATCTGCCACACAGAGAACCACGGCGATTCATATGCAAGATGCCAACGTCAATGTTCAGTTTCAATCTGGACTATGTTCAGGGATTGTGGGTAGCGACTGGAAGTGTTCAGGGGAGTCGAGAGGAGTTTGCATAGCGCATCGAAGTAGTACCAGTATGAGGGTGGTAGGCATACTCTGAAATACGCAAAGGTTTTGAGTAACAAGTCAAATGTGAAAAGATGAGAAATAGAAAGGTGTTAGACCTACAAGTGTGTCCTAATGGCAATACAAAGATAGGATCCATGAGAGAGTGACAAGAGCACGTCCTACCCGGTGGAGGGTTGGATGAGCGGAGTTCCATTTATGGTAAAGCGCTGCAGTCCCCGCACTGAAGGTCGACCCGCAATTAAGGTCGAAGTGGTCTCTATTGGAGCTTGCTTTGACCTCAACAAAAACAAAAAAAATACATTTTACTTTGTTAGCGAGATATCATTGTTGGCCTCCTAAACTATCAGAAGTATAGTCCAGGAGTGTCTTCCACTCTTCCGCTGTGCATATTAGGGGTATAGAGCACCTTCTCAGGTGTGAATCCCTTTCAGAAATTGGAATTAAACATCTCCTACTTATCATTAAAGGCATAGTAAAAGTCGGAGCAAAACTGAGTTGTGGGGGGAATAATTTACGGGCATAAGCAGTATAAGAACTCTATAAGCGGCGGTCAACTTATAATTTACGGAATAATTTACGCGCGTAAATTATTCAAATTATTTATTCCAAGGACACGCTACTCGCTTATTCTTGGTATGATAAATTACTAGAAATGTATATAAAGGTGTCTTCGTAAATTGGATCCAATTCTAGCAGCCAACGCCAGCAAAATTTGTCATTGAGGGCAAGT